GTCAGTACAAAACAGATGGTTGTTTACGGGGTGCATGAGGCACCATATCTGTTTCTCTTAGCTTGCTTAGGGGACAAGACACAGAGTATGCTACCTCAGGGTCAACCAGAGACCGTTCTTTTGCTGATTAGCTCTGCTCTGGGCAACTTCGCCTGCTGCCGTCTACAGCCCTGTTTACACCTGTTTACCTGTTTTGGTCCTTCCTTCCTGTGAAAGCAGCTTTCTGCTATTATACTAATTTGGGGGGTGTTTCTGCCTTGAATACCTAACCTTGCTTACTATTATTGGATGCTTTCATCCTGAGGTTTCCTATTCCTGTTCCTTTGTCCTATACTAGGGGCACTTTGCCTTGATTACCTAATCTTGTTTGCCTAATCTTGGATGTGTTCACTCTGTGGCTTTCTATTTCTTTATACCTTGCACCATTGGTGCAAGCTCATGGAATTCCTAGCTTATTCCCCACAGTTATGGCTGAATGACACACACACACACACACACACACACACACACACACGCACACACACACACACATACACACAAACACCACATTTTCTTTATCCATTTATCTATCGATAAATACTTGGGCTGCTTCCATATTGGCTATTGTCAATATTACTGCTATACACATAGGGGTACATATATCCCTTTGTATTAGTGTTTTTGTATTTTTTGGTCAAATACCCAGTAGTATGATTAGTGGATCCAGGCTCTTTTTAATTTTTTGAGGAATCTCCATTCTGTTTTCCACAGTGGCTGCACCCATTTGCCTTCCCACCAATAGTGAGAGAAAGTTCTCCACATCCTCGCCAACACTTGCTGTTTATTGTTTTTGATTTGAGCTACTCTGACATACATGAGGTATTAGCTCATTGTAATTTTGATTTGCATTTCCCTGATGATGAGGAATGCGGAGCACCTTTTATGTGTCTGTTGGCCATATGAATGTCTTTGGAGAAATGTCTCTTCATTTCTTCTGTTCAGTTTTAAGTGGATTATTTTTGGGGGGGTCTTGATTTGTATAAGTTCTTTATATATTTGGCTAGTAACCTTTTATTGGATATGTCATTTTCAAATATCTCCTTCCATTTAGTAGGTTGCCTTTTAGATTTGTTGATTGTTTCCTTTACTGTGTAGAAGCTCCCAATAGTTTATTTTTACTTTTATTTCTCTTGCTTCACGAGACATATCTAGTAAAACGTTGCTATGGCCAATGTCAGAGACCTTACTGCCAGTGCTCTCTTCTATGATTTTTCTTTGTATGTTTATTTATGTATTTTGAGAGTAAGAGAGAGAGAGAGCCAGGGAGGGGGAGAGGGAGTGAGACAAAGAGAGACAGAGAGAGACAGAGAGAGAGAGAGAGAGGGGAGAGAGAGAATCCAAAGCAGGCTCCATGCTCTCAGTGCAGAGCCTAATGTGGGGCTTGAAGTCATGAACCATGAGATCATGACCTGAGCCAAAACCAAGAGTTGTATGCTTACCCCTCTTTTCAAAGATTTTTATGGTTTTCTGTCTCACATTTAGGCTTTTCATCCATTTTGAATTTCTTCTGTGTATAGTGATAGTGTAAGAAAGTGGTCCAGTTTCATTCTTTCCTATGTAGCTGACCAGTTTTTCACAACACCATTTGTGGAAGAGACTGTCTTTTTTTCCATTGGATATTCGGATATTCTACATTCTGATCTTCTTATATTTTCCATTTATATGCTGAGATTTCCTACATTGCAGTTATTATGATTATCTTCTCCTTTAAGTCTTTGAATATATTTCTGATAGCTGCTTTCAAGTCCTGGGGTCATACTTGCAACACTAGCTTCATCTTGGGGACTGTTCCTAGTGATAGTTATTTTTCTTGTTATAGGTCACATTTTTCTGTTTCTTCAGATTTCTACTAATTGTAGTTGTATGCTGGAGAATGTAGATGTTACACTGAAGGGATGCTGTGTTATCTTTTCTTCCATCAAAAGGTGATGAGTTTTGGGCTGGTTGGCAGTTTAATTACTGGAATCTCTTTTTAGTTCTGCAAGGCTTGTTTTTATTATCTGTTAGGGATTTTCTATTTCTCTTTCTCTCTTTCTCTCTCTCCTTCCTTCCTTTCTTCTTTCTTCCTTCCTTCCTTCCTTCCTTCCTTCCTTCCTTCCTTCCTTCCTTCCTTTCTTTCTTTCTTTCTTTCTTTCTTTCTTTCTTTCTTTCTTTCTTTCTTTCTTTCTTTCTTTCTTTCTTTCTTTCTCTTTTAGAGAGAGCCCAAGTAAGGGAGAGGAGCAGAAGGAGACAGAGAATTTTAAGCAGGCTCCATGCTTAGTGCAGAGCCAGACGTGGGCCTTGATCTCACAACTGTGAGATCATGACCTAAGCTGAAATCAAGAGTCAGATGCTTAACTGACTGAACCACTCAGATTCCCAAGAGATCTTCTATTTCAGTTTTGAGCTTGTTCCTAGTTCATGGCTCTTACTCTTATGTGCAGTTTTTACTTTTCTTTGTGGCCTTTCTGGAGTGTGAGATGAATTCACAAGATGCTCAGTGATGTCTTCCCAGTCTAGATGAGATGTAACTCTAACATTCATAGCACTGCTCAGTCTTTGTGACCTCCATTCAGCTCTCAGCATTGGGGCAGGTGATCTCTGCTAGGTCTTTTGGAGTTTTACCCCACACATGCAAGGGCAAGCCTTGGCCAAGGACACATACAATGAGTTCCCACAAAACACATTCTTCTCAGAACTTTGCTCTGAAAATTCCAGCCCCTTTACTCTTACACATTTTTAGTTCAGGGAGATTACTGCTCCTGGGCCTCTGCTTGCCTGCATCTTGTCAGGAAATAGCCATAGGAAGGAAGCCAGGGCAACGGTGGGGCTCCCATATTGTGTTTTCTCATCTCAAGGACTATAGTCTTATTCTGCCTGCTATTCCGAATGTGAAAACAGTTGTCTTCTGTATTTAGAGTTACTTTCAATGGGAGGGTATGTTCTGTAAGTTACATTGTCATAAATGGAAGCAGAAGTATAATTGCTATTTTTGGACGTTTGAAAAAAATCACAGAACCTCACATTTCCTTTCAACAAAAATACACATTTACACGAGCAGTTCCTAGCTGCCCTGGCTCCTGCAGTGTCCGAGCATGGGCAAGTTTCTCAATAATAACAACTCATACTTGTACAGCTCTTTCTAGTGTTTAAAGAACCCCTTGCAAATATTACTTGACTTGTTCCTTATGACATCACGCTAGTTCCATACCACGAATAAGAAATGACTTAAAGATGCTAATTGTCTTTGAGTAGTAGTCAAAACATCACCTAGGATTTTCAACCCAGGAGCCCAGCCTCTGACGACCTATCATCTTAAGTCTCCAAAAGCAGGTCTTTCCCTAGGAAGACCCTTGTCCCAGCTTCCAAGAAAATTAACATTACTCTGCCCATAATGGTGCACACACTATGTAGCATCATGGATCTTGGTAATAGTATAACCATTGATTGTAATTTGTCATTTAAAAAAAAAATTGGAGCCCATTCTGGCCCCACAAGGTGAATCTTGTGCTGCTGAGCACACTGTTGTGTGTCTCGGGGTGACCCAAGTTGCCCCTGTTGTGTTTTCAGGCTTCCAGCTTCCAGCATAGCTTTCCTGGTACCCACAGACAGGATGAGAAATGAAAGCCCAAGCAAGGATGCTGGGACAGCTCGCTCCTGCTCGGGAATGGGCCTGGGGGCAGCGGGGATGTGATGCCTCGGTCTGCAACTGGACACATCCCCTATTTTGGCTGCTGTCTATTGGCAAGTGTGTGCTGGAAAGAGTTGAGGCTTCGTTATAACTGTGTTTTCATTTTTGAACCAATGTCAGGGCCATTTTGCCTCCCATAGCAAAGGACGTTGCCTCTTGCTCATAGTTACTCACAAATGGTCAGTTGGTTGTGAACTAAAAAGAGGTGATAAGCTAGCTTTTAAGGGATCAGACATTCATGCAAGCCACCACTCCTGCTCATGTGGCACAGGAAGGCACTGTGTTTGAATGGCACACTGGCTGATGCTACGTGGGGGACATTATGGATAGATGATGTGAAATGGCTCAACCTAATATACCTATAGGAAAGAGAATTTTTCTTGAAATTTATATTTATTTTGAGAATATTTTGAGAATAGAATGTGAGCAGAGGAGGGGCAGAAAGAGAAGGAGAGAGAGAGAGAGATCCAAGCAGGCTCCATGATGGCAATGCAGAGCCTGACGTGGGCCTTGAACCCAAGAACTGAGAGATCATGACCTTAGCCAAAACCAAGAGTCAAACCCAGGCACTCCAAGGAAAGAGAGCTTTGCTACTGAGTTTCAGAGAACTTCATCCTATTATTTAAACTTTCAAAAAAAAAAAAAACTTTTCTGTCATCATTACTTGAATGTCACCCATATTTGGCCATCTGACCTTGGAGAACTCCCTTGATCAGTGGTAAAACTTCGGGCTGAGGATGGAGGAGGAAGAAATCCTCAGTGAGAGGCTCTCTCTGGGCACTTTAGACACATCTCTGACTAAATTCACCTAAACACCGTTATTATCTGTATTTTACCAAAGGCTCAGAGAGGATAGGTGGGATCAAGGAAAAAACGGGAAAGTCCAACCAAATAGCACAAGGCTGAATTCTGTACCCACGACTCACTAGCTGTTCCTTTTTGCCCTTGGCCATGGCCAGCACTGCTTGACCACTGAGCATAGTCCCCTGAGGGACCCCTCATGCCTCTTCAGGGCCCGAGTCACCCACCAGAACCCAGGCAGTTCTGTCGCTGTCTGGGTAATGGGGAGAACAGGCATCTGCTGACTCTCCACTTCTGCTTTCTCCAGGAAATGAGCAGAAACGCAGCTCAAGTGATTCATACTGAAACGTTGTTGGAGACTAACAATGCTGGCCGAGCCCTCTTCTCCCAGGCCTGAGGGACTGTGTGCCAATACGGGGGCACCCGTGCCTCCTGACGTCTGCAGGCCCTGACCGCCACACCTCTGGGTAGGTCACCTTTCTCTCGGCCACCAGGCCAGTCATGGAGGTCCTGTCGATCAGGGTGGGGCCTCCCAGCCGCCTCCTGGAAAGCTGAGCATTGGAACACATAGGATTTCAGTGGCTGATCTGGGTTTGTGGATGTGGGAGAAGAGGTGAGCTGATGAGCAGGAAGCATGTGTGGCAGGGAGGGGGGGGCAAGGAGGGGGCAGGGGGGCGGTGCAGGGCCACTCTGATGCCCGGATCGGCTGGGGTGTCCGTCACTGTAGGAGTGTGCCGAGCCCGGCTGGGCTCCAGCTCTGTTCCTCGTTTTCCCACCTCAGGTCAAATCTTCTCCCACGTTTCTGCTAAGGAAGGTGACCCGCCACACCAGGGAGAGGCTGGATGTGTGCCTGTCTGTGCTAATTCCCAGGGATGGAGAAGGGGGACTGCCCGTGAGACTCCTTGACCCGACCCCCTGTGTGGGCCTCCGAAGGGTGTTGAGCAGCGTGGGCAGTTTCAGCCTGGTCACCCAGAGAGCTAGTAGCTTTGTGATCTGGTCCTGTGGTCACTCCCCGGGGGTCTGGTAAGTAGGTGCCTCTTGGTGCCTCCCTTTCCTCATGTGAATTACCACATGAAACCATAGAAACACCAACATTTGCTGATTCAGCAGGACACTCTGGCTTGCAAAGAATTTGCTTTTCTCTTCTCCTGAAATCATACGTTATAGAACACTGACCCAATCCTTTGTCCCAGCTTCTGTGAAGCCAGGAGGAGCTAAGCCAGCAACTAAGGATTTCAAGTATTACTCCTAAGGAAACTTTGATGCTGACATGACTTTCTGCATAATCATTCATTTAATTATTCAAGAAATTTCGAGAAATACTTATTGAGAGCCACTTCCTGCCAGGCACTGTTAAAGGCCTCAGGGCCAGTGGACGGGGTCGGTTGTGCTTGGCGCGATGGGCTGAAGTGGGATGGAATGCCAAGGGCTGGGAGGAGGGGGTCAGGAGGCCTGGAATGTGCATGCCTTCTGGGTGGAGGCCTGAAGGAAGGGAGAGTCTGAGCCCTGTGGTTTTTGAGAAATATTCTTGGCAGGGGAATGGAGAATGTATGTCAAGGTGCACTGGAGGGGGCCTGGTGGAGGCCAGTGGGGCAGAGAGCAGTGAGGGGCAGGCCAGGTGACCCAGCCAGAGAGGGGAGGAGGGCCTTCCTGTTCAGTGTGAGCTCCTGGGCTGTACTCCCTCAGACTTAGGGAGCTTCTCAATGTTGAGTTTATAGAAAATTTAGAAACAGTGTATAGGGTATAAAAAGTATCACCTAAGTGTGTTCTTTAAAGAGACTGGTGACTGGGTGGCTCAGTCAGTTAAGCATCTGACTCTTGATTTCGGCTCAGGTCTTGATCTCATGGTTTGTAGGTTCAGGCCCCATATAGGCCTGCTTGAGATTTGCTCTCTCCCTTTCTCTGCCTTTCCCTGTGCTCTCTCTCTCTGTCTCAAAGTAAATAAATAAACTTAAGAAATTAAAAGAAAGATCATTAGCATCTCTGAGGTCCTTCACAGGCTTGTCCTTTCTCTCTCTGGTCAGAAAACACGGTTTCTCAGAATTCAGGGCTTATTGTTCTTTTGCCTTTCTCTATATTTTTACCTCATATATTTAAATTGCTAAATACATGTGAGTTTTGCATGTTTTTGAACTTTGTAAATAGGAATTAAATATTTTTTTTAAGACTTGCTTTGTTTGCTCCCAATGTTGTTTCTGGAAGTCCTTCATATTGTTGCACGTGCCTCTAATTCATTCATGTTTACTGCTTGCTGTATAGTATTCTGTTATGTATAAATATATCTCAGTGTACTTCCCCGAGTTAGTGCTGATAATGGGCACTTGGGATTTTTTTTTTTTTAGGCTTTTGGTTTTGTTTTTCTATTATAGGCTGCTAGGTGCTCAGCATTTGTAAGTACTGCCAGGGCTCTCCTTGTGCATATATTCCAGAATATGTGTGAGGATTCCCTAAGGTATATCCCCTAAAAGTAGAATTGGTGGGTCACGGAGTTTACATATCTTCACCTTTACTGGATGATACCAAAATGCTTTCTGAACCAATTGCATCATTTTACCCACCCACGAGCAACACATTGAAGTTTCTGTTGCTCCACATTTTCACCAACATTTGATATGGCTGGAGTTTTAATTTTTGCCAATCTAGTGAAAATGAAAACATATCTATGTTTTTAATTTGCATTTCCTGAATTGTGAAGGTTGAGCATCTCTTTATATGCCTACTGGCCATTCTGGGTTCTTTTTTATGTTCAAATCATTTGCCCATGTCTCCCTGGGGCCATCTGTCTTTACTCTGTTGATTTTCCATAATTTAATACATGTCCAGATATTAAGCCTCTGTTGTAAGTTGTAACTGTATATTGTAAACATTTGTCTATTGTTTGTGATTGTCTCCATATATTCTTTGCAATTTCTATTAATGACCAAATTTCTTAATTTCAAATAAGCTTCATTTATTCATATGTTCTTTTATGATATACACATATGCTCTCTAAGAAATCCGCCTCCACTGTGAAGTCATAAAGTTACTCTTACATTATTTTTTTAAATAAGTTCGCCTTTCATATTTAAGTGTTCTGTCTCATCTAAAAATGATTTTTTAAATTTTGTTTTGTTTTTCCCCATATGGATAATCAAGAGTCTTAGGTCTACTAATTAAAAAGGCTATTCTTTAGCCAGTGATCTACATCTGCTCCATCACAAATCAAGATGTCATGTATATGTAGGTCTGTTTCTGGGTTCTCTGTTCTGTTCATTTGTTGATCCCTTTGTCAATAGTATATGATATGATTAACTCTAGGCTTAGAACAAATTTTGATATCTGAAAAGAATCCTGTTACTTTTCTTCTTCCATTCTGTCTTGACATTTTTGGTACATTCTTCCTTCACATGATTTTAGAAACAGTTTATCAGATTCAACAAAAAGCTATGTCCAGGATTGATTGAAAATGCCATTCGGAGAGATATGATATCTTTATGAAAATGACTCTTCCAATTCATGAACATGATTTGTAACCTCATTTACTTAGATGTTCTTTAAAATATTTGAATAACATTTTATAGCTTTCTTTATAAGATAGTGCATATTTTGTCTAGAGTTGTTCCTAAGTGGTGTATATTTTTATATCATTTTAATTGTCACTAAAAATACACCTTTTTGACTCGCTGATGTATGCTTGCATTTTAAAGAAGAATCATTTTAGCTGTTTTATGGGCAGCAAGACTATCTGTTAAAAGGCTTTGTACCAATTCAGGCTAGAGGTATTGGTGGCTGGCCCCAAGGTGATAGTAGAGATAATGAGAGGTGGTCAGAGTGGTGAGTCCTAGATACTTTTTGAAGTGGGATTAACTTAACAGACTGAGTCACCCAAGTGCTCCTTACTTTTACTTTTTAAATGTGGCTACCAAGATTATTTTAAATTACACATGTGGCTTGAACTTGTGTCTGGCTTTGTATTTCTTCAGGGCAGTACCCTTAAGAGGTACTTCATGTTCCATGGCCAGAGGTTTTTGTGGGAAACAGTTCAAGAATGGTGGAAGTTAGAGAAGTGAAAAGTCACTTGGCCCAGATAATTCCAAGGAGAAAGGAAGGATAGAGGGTAAGAAGAATAGATTTACTAATAGAAGAATAGATAACTGTAAGTACAGTAAACTAGACACTGGGCAGAGCACTGGAATTAGTAACTTATTTAATCCCCCAAGTGAGATCACTTTCATTACTCGCAATTTACAGATGAGGAAATGGAAGCTCAGAGGTCCTTCCCTCTCAGACAGTAAGAGACTCAGCTGGGATTTGAACTTAAAGCCCTTGAGCTTTGAATTAGGCCCTGTCCTCATTGTGAACTGAGGAAACACTTCTGGTAAGAATTAGTGATCTTTGTGCAGAAGTGTGAAAACTGCTCTTCCCCTTTGGCAAATGGTTAATCCTTCTTTTGAGACTTCATCTTTGCGTCTTTGCAAAGGTGATTCACAGCAAACAGTAAGATTGCATGGGGATCCTTTTTGTCTCAGCACTGCCGATAGCAATGGGCCTAGGGCAACCAATTATTAGGGAATGAGAGAGTCAGTTGCAAGCAATCGACCAAGAGCACAATTCTTGGTCATTGAACAGATAATGGGTAAAGGCAACATAGACTATGTTTATGATATGACGATGGACAATTGATACAATGAAAATGCCTATACATTGGTTATAAGTAAAATATGCTTCCGTGTGAAATATAGTATGCAAAAAAAGGGACATACTTGTTGATTTTTGTGTTTTTAACTTAATGTTAAGAAGAAAGCTGCCCAAGTAGCATTCGGATAACAGTTTAAAAGATAGGCACAAAATATGAAGAAATAGGCAGGCGAAGGTGAATAAAGGCATGTATACATGAAGAAACTGTGTTATGAGGTTGGTCAGAGCCTACCAGGACTTAGTAAGGTCGGAGCATGCTACAGCGAGCCCACGGGCTTCCTCCTCTGGCTCTTTGGGTGTGGACCAGATCAAGGAGCGATGGGCCCCATGTGCAGAAAGCAGCAGGCTGGGACATGCCTGTACTAAGGGCAGGGCTCTTTTTCTGTCTTTCTGCCCAAAGAATGTATGCCCTTCACTGGGGTGGCGTTGCGGCGGATCATCTGCCTCCTCCACAGGTGCCTGAAGCTTGCATTTTTTGCAGTGCACCCAGCGCATGCGCAGCAGCTGCCCCGATGTGGGTGAGGAAGGGGTGCCACCACGGTTGAACAAGGCGAAGGGAGAAGAGAGCCAGGAGATTGGATGGGTGGAGGTCCAGATATTGAAAAGAAACAAACAAACAAAGCAGGGGCAATACTCTGCAATCAGAATACAGAGTCTTGTAATCTTTAGCTTTTCCTTTCACATACCTGTCTCTAGGAAACATTTAATTCTGTAAATCAGTGGATGGGTCCAGAATGAGTCCACGGCTTCCGCACGGGGGAAGGAATCTCTCTCAGAATCTCCTGTCTAAAATATCACCTAGGTTCCATGAAATATTTCTTCCCTTACAACATTTGAAGTGTCTGAATAATCTCAGTTTTGACCTGCGTATTTAATGTGACGGCCGCCTCCCTCTCAAAGTAATTACATAATTGTGGCATTTTATAACTGATAGAAACTTAGAATTGAAGAAATGGAGGAATGAGAAAGGGAAAGCATATTCAAGAGTAATGATCACACAAGGAAGAAAGTGATGTTTGCCGCGGTTATTTCAGGCAGCAGGTATTGATAAATTTGGGAATTACAAAGTGCTCACTTTAATTCTGCTGGAGTCCACACACCGTGACTGTGCACAAGTGACTTTTACTCCTGGGGTCCTCCTTCCGCCTGCACCTGGAAATGATCATAACCCTGAATATGTAATTACTAAATGAAGTCTTGTAGGATGGAGGTAGCAATGACGACTGAGAAGTGCTGTCACATGCTGGCAGTGACTACTTTCTAATTACAGGATGGCTGGGTGATAGCAGGAGTTTGGAGGTTGGAGAGAAGAGGGTTATTTCTTGGTTGGGGCATCAGAGATGCCT